TTTAAAAAATTGTGGGTTTGACTTTTCCACTTTGTATTTTGAGTAGCCTAGTTCCATATAATGGCTCTTGAGGGTGAATATTCAGATGTAGGCAGCACTAGCTGCTATAGCCACACATGATGTGAAGAGGGGGAATCAAGCTAAGCAAGGAAGAGGTCTAGGGTCCTTGGCTGGGCTGTAGACTGGGCACAGGGCACACCTGTGGCAGAACATAGTAGGACCACTCCTCAGCTTGGCCTCCTCCATATGAGAATCGGAGTTTGGGATTATAGGATCACTTTCATACAGCTCTGGGCAAACAGCCACAGCCTTAAAGTTTAAGGTCAAAAAGGACCATTAAGATCCTCTAATCTGATCAACTGCATAACTCAGGCCAGAGAATTATACCAAGTGATTCCTACCTTTTTATTTCTGATTGATCTAGAGTAGATCTCTTAAAAAGATCCAGTCTCGATTCAAGGATTACCCAGATACTATAAACTGCTCCACTGTTAATTACCCTCACTGTTGCTTCTAAAACTAATTGTGCTTCAATTCCTGTTTGGATGTGTCTTCCTGCAGCTTCCCATCTGCTGTGTTGTTCTTCTACTGTCAGAAATTTCCTCATATAGATATTTCTAAACCATCATCAAGTCATCTCTTAAACTTCTCTTTGTTGAGCTACAGAAATTGAGATACGTAAATGTCAGACCACTTTTGCCCAGAACAATCTTGATCTTAATAATGCGATGATTTGGATTCCTAAGACTTTCCACAGAATCTGAATTATGTATTTTGGATGAATAGTAACTTTTTTTTGTGAAATTTCCAGACAAATGCACTGAGACAGTCTCAATCTTAAGTCTATGTAATGTGTAACTTACATTATACAAATGGTGTAATTCTTCTCTAGACAAGCATTATAAACCCAGCAGTTTACAATGTATATTAAGGTTCAGTTTATGAATAGATTATACCTGTTCTGTTTGTTCACTCTGGGGCACCTGGCATTGGTCACTGTTGGAAAACAAGATTCTGGGCTAGTTGAACCTTTGGTCTGATGCAATATGGCCGTTCTTATAAAGAATTAATAAATGATAGTTTCTATAAGCATTTACAGCCATGAATTAGTTATAAACACAAAAGAAGATAATATAGGCGATTATAAGCCATGGTTATTAGCAGCCAGTTCTACTCCAGAACAATTGATTTTTGAATGGGATCCTAGTATAAGATGTGACCAAGTCAGGAAATCTACAGTTAAGTTTTATAGGTGCATAGACTCAAAGACCAGAAGGGACCATCATGATCATCTAGTCTGACCTCTTACACCCGTGGTCACCAGCCTGTTGATCACGATCGACTGGTCGATGAAGCAGCCATGGTGGTTCACGAGGGCAAAGAGCACCATGGAGAAGTACCCCTTGCGGTTGATGAAGTGTGTCACTCGATGCTCCGGGGCCCAGATGGGGATGTGTCCATGCACCATTTCCAGATGTCCATGCAGCATTCCAGATGCTGTCTCACCAGCGCCTTGTATACTAGTACTTCCCTGTCTCCATTGTCCTAAGTTTAATATACTAATGACAGAATCCCCATCGTACCCATGTC